AATTCCTAAAACTCTTACATGACTTCTCAAGACTGAATCAGGAAGAAATACAAATATGGACAGATCAATTACCAGAAATGAAAATGAATCAATAATTTAAAAAAATTCCAAACAAACAAAAGTTCAGGATCAGAAGGCTGCATAGGTGAATTCCACCAAACATTTAGAGAAGACTCAACACCTATCCTTCTCAAACTATTCTAAAAATCTGCAGAGGAAGGAACACTTCCAAACTCATTCCATGAGGTCAGCATCACCTTGCCACCCAAACCAGACAGAGATACCACAAAAAATAAATTACAGGCCAAGATCACTGATGAACATAGATGCAAAAATCCTCAACGAAACACTAGCTCTAACTGACTCTAACAATACATTAAAAGGAAGATATACTACAATTAAGTGAAGTTTATCCCAGGATGTTAGGATTTTTCAATATCTGCAAATCAATAAATATGATACACGACATTAACAAACTGAAGCATAAAAGCCATACAATCATCCAAATAGATGCAGAAAACTTTTTCATAAACTTCAACATCTATGATATTGAAAATGGGCATAGAGATAACACACTTCAACATAATAAAGGCCATCCATATATGACAAGTCCACAGCTAAGATCATACCCAAAAGTGAAAAGCTGAAAACATTTTTTCTAAAATTAGGAATAAGATAAGAATGTCCACTCTCACCATGTTTATTCAACACAGTGTTGGAAGTCCTATCCACAGAAATCAGCAGGGAAACAGATATTAAGAAATCCAAACTGGAAAGAAGTAAAACTGTCACTCTTTGCAGATGATATGATACTATATGTAAAAAATCCTAAGAGAAGTCACTCAGTCGTGTCCAACTCTTTGTGACCCTGTGGACTGTAGCCCACCAGGCTCCTCCCTCCATGGGATTCTCCAGGCAAGAGTACTAGAGTGGGTTGCCATTTCCTTCTCCAGGGGATCTTTCCCAACTCAGGGATCGAACTGGGGTCTCCCACATTCCAGGGAGACGCTTTAACCTCTGAGCCACCAGGGAAGCCCCCCCCCCCAAAAAAATCCTAAAGACACCACCAAAAATCTATTAAGAGTTCATCAATGAATATGACAAAATTGCAGGATACAAAATTAATATACAAAAATCTGCTGCATTTCCACACACTAATCACAAACTATCAGAAAGAAAAAGTAAGGAAATAATCCCATCTACAATTGCACAAAAAAGAATAAAATATCAAGGAATAAACCTACCTAAGGAGGAAAAAGTTCTGTGTTCGAAAAATTATAAGACACTGATAAAGGAAATTGAAGACCACATAAACAGATGTAAAGGTATACCATGTTCATAGATTGGAAGAACTGATAATCTTAAAATGACCATGCTACCCAAGGCAATCCACAGGCTCAATGTAATTTCTATCAAATGACCAATGGCATTTTTCACAGAACTTAAAAAAATTCTTTAATTTGTATGGAAGCACAAAAGACAACAAAACAGCCAAACAATCTTGAGAAAGAACAGAGCTGCAGAAATTGTGCTCCCTGACCTCAGACTATACCATTAAGCTACAGTAATCAGAAGAGCATGGTACTGGCACAAAGACAGACACACAGATCAATGGCACAGAACAGAGATCCCAGAAATAAACCCACACACTGCGGGCCGATTACTTAGGATAAAGGAGGCAAGAACACACAGTGAAGAAAAGACAGTCTCTTAATAAGTGGCAATGAGAAAGCTGGATAGCTACATATGAAAGAATAAAATCAGAACACTCTCTAACATCAGGTAGAAAAAATAAACTCAAAATGGTTTAAAGGCCTAAATGTAAGACCAGAAACCATAAAACTCCTGGAAGAAAACATAGGCAGAAGACTCTCAACAGAAATTGTAGCAGTGTTTTTTGGATCTGTCTCCTGAAAAAGGGCAACAAAAGCAAAAACAAACAAATGGAACCTAATGAAAGTTAAAAGCTCCTGTATGTGAAAGGAAAACACTGACAAAATAAAGACAGCCTACGGAATGGGAGAAGACATCTGCAAATATATGATCAATAGGGGGTTAATATCCAAAAATATATAAACAGCTCAAATTTAAAAAAAAAAGCCCAGCAACCTGATTAAAAAAGGGGCAGAATATCTGAACAGACAATTTTCCAAAGAAAAGATCAGATGGCCAATGATCAGGGAAGTATCAGTTAAAACTACAATGGGGTATCACCTCACACTTGTCTGGCTGTCATCAAAAAGAACACAGATAACAAATGTTGGTGAGGATGTGGAAAAAACAGAGCCCTCATACACTGTTGGTAAGAATGTACATTGGTGCAGCTATTGTGGAAAACAGTATGGAGGGTTCCCTCCAAAACTAAAAATAGAACTACCACATGACCAGGCAATTCCACTCCTGGGTATATATTTGAAAAAAGAAACAAAAACACTGAATCAAAAAGATACATGCACCCCAAGGTTTATAGCAGCATTATATACAGCTGCCAAGATACAGAAGGAAGCTAAGTGTCCATCAACAGATGAATGGATAAAGAAGACGTAGTGTACACACACACAAACAAATACTACTCAGCTATAAAAAGAATGAAATTTTGTCAAATGCTACAACATGCATCAACCTGGGGAGCATATTATACTAAGTGAAGTAAGTTAGAGAAAGACAAATACTGTATAATATCACATGTGGAATCTAAAAAATAAACTAGTGAATATAATAAAAAATAAATAGAATCACAGATATAGAGAACGAATTAGTGGTTCCCAATGGGGCAAGGGATAGAGGGAGGGGCAAGTGGGAGAAGGGATTAAACTCCTACACATAAAATAAATAAGTTATAAGGATATATTATACAGAATACAGTCATTATTTTATAATAACTACAAATGGACTGAGAGAATAAATTTCCATTGCTTCAAGCCACCCTGTGTATAGTACTTTGTTATAAGAGCACTAGGAAACTAACACAGTTTGAGTCCTGAAGCAAAAATGAAGCATTTTGGCTCACCCCATACCACATATTTCACTATGGCTGAATAATAGCGGGTGGATTTCAATCTTGTTTGATGGGGATCTTCCAAGAACACATTTTAGTAGTGCGTTAAGTGAGGGATGGCCACCTGATGCGAAGAGCTGACTCACTTGAAAAGACCCTGATGCTGGGAAAGATTGAGGGCAGGAGGAGAAGGGGACGACAGAGGATGAGATGGTTGGATGGCATCACTGACTCAATGAACATGAGTTTGCGTAGGCTCTGGGAGTTGGTGAGGGACAGGGAGGCCTGGTGTGCTGCAGTTCATGGGGTTGCAAGGAGTTGGACATGACTGAGAGACTGAACTGAACTGAAGTGAGGGATCAGGGGCTTTCTAGGTCACACTAGTAGTAAAGAACCCACCTGCCAATGCAGGAGATTTAAGAGACATGGGTTTGATCCCTGTGTCAGAAACATCCCCTGGAAAAGGGAATAGCTACCCACTCCAGTATTCTTGCCTGGAAAATCCCATGGGCAGAGAAGCCTGGCAGGCTGCAGTCCGCAGAGTTGCAAAGAGTCAGACACGACTGAAGTGAGTTAGCACGCATGCACACAGTGAGGGATCACGCTTACAAGTGACTAAATCATAATTAAAATAAGGTTTAACTAGCTAAAAAGGTCAGCGGAGGGTGAGTTACCCATTAGTGCATCCTGATTTCCAAGAAAGATAAGAACAATGATAGGGCCCATATGAGGGCAGTTCTGGAGTAACTGAAAGCAGGACTCTCCATCTGCTTTTCCATCTTGCTCTTCCTGTATATTAACTTCATAAAGTAAAGTAAAGTGAAGTTGCTCAGTCATGACTCTTTGCGACCCCATGGACTGTAGCCTACCAGGCTTCTCTGTCCATGGGATTTTCCAGGCAAGAGTACTGGAGTGGGTTGCCATTTCCTTCTCCAGGGGATCTTTCCCAACTCAGGGATCAAACCGGGGTCTCCTGCATCGCAGGCAGATGCTTTACCCTCTGAGCCACCAGGGAAGCCCATAGTTTGCTATAAATGCAGTCAGTCTTTAGCTAGCAGGTGAAAACATGACTGCTTTTCTCCAAGTTTTCTCTTTCATAGAACTGAAACACGTGAAGAAAGACTATTTCCATTCTCAGGGTCCTCAAGTCCAAACAGCCCAGAGGACACTTTGAGTGGCCTGAGCTGGGTTGCCTGTCCATTCCTGAGCTACCTGTTGGAGCTTCATGGCCAGGCAGGTACCAGAGAGAGGGAACGATGGAGACAATCTAATGAAGAACAGCTCTGGTTTCTTTCCTTGATAAAATAGTTTCACTTTTTTTCAATTTACCCCAAATTCTGACTAAAATGCTAAAATGAAGTGAGCAATGAGGAGCTGAGAAGTAATTTTAAAGGCAGATACAGATATAATTGGAAGGATAAACAGTAGTAACAGATAAATTATCAATACACATAATACATTGATAAAGAACTTTAATGAGAGACTTCCCTGATGGTCCAGTGGCTAAGATTCCATGCTCCCAATGCAGGGGGCTCAGGTTCAATCCCTGGTCAGGGAATTACATCCCACAAGCCACGACTAAGAGTTTGCACGTTGCAACTAAAACCCAGCACAGCCAAATAAATAGACAAATATTAAAAGGAATTACACTTTGGTGTGTTCTTAAAAAAAAAAAAACTTTAACGGAGAGCCAATAAGCACATGAACTGGATGCTTTAATGTATGTAATTATAAATAAGACAATTTTTGCAGTTGGAATTACCAAAAAAAAAAAATTATCTCTTTAAAAGAAAAGAATATAAGAAATTAGCAACCATTTTTATCTGAAGATTTATTTTAAAGAAGCTTTTATCTTTGGGTAGTAAAGGCATTATATTTCATTCGCAATAAACGTGACTGTATTGTGTGAGCAGGGCACTGAAGTGCCATGAAATTGCTTCATGAGAGAATTAAATTCAATATACAACCTGTAACTTCCTTAGACACAGAAATTATTACTTACCGTAGCACTGGGGTTCCTATCAGCTCGATTTTGTTCAAAAGAATTTATTTTATGGGTACTCATTTCATCAGTGTCAGCAACGATATAATGTCTAGGAGAATAAGCATCGGACAAGTTCTCCAGCAGCCTTAGGATCTCAGTGGTATGTCCACCTGGGAAAAAATATTGGAAGGCCTAAGATGAAGAAACTTTTAATGGACATATCCATCTGATGATGTTATCTTAATGCTAAGTTTTGTGCATTTCTCAAAATACAAAAGGAATATTTGGAAACAATAATCTGTGCCCTTGTACAAATACTACTTCTATATGGGGGAAGAGGATAATAAATGTATAAAAATAAAATCAGCACCAGCAGTAAGTCATGCTACTGTACTAGATGAAGAAGGTACAAAGAAGTATAAGACACTGTACTGTGCATGCTCAGTGGCTTAGTCGTGTCCAACTCTTTGGGACCCCATGGACTGTAGTCCACCAGGCTCCTCTGTCCATGGGATTGTCCCAGGAAAGAATACTGGAGAGAGTTAGCATTTCCTTCTCTAGGGGACCTTCCTGACGCAGGGATCAAAACTGTGTCTCAAGTCTCCTGCATTGCAGGCAGATTCTTGGCCACTGTGTCACTTGGGAAGCCTGGTATAAGACACAGGTCCTGTTATCAAGAAGTCTGATGGGATTGGGGCAAGACACATACAGGTATATAAAGAGTGACACAAGACAGCAAAAAAATTAAAATGAGGGGGACGGGCAAGCAAACTGTTATGAAAAGCAATGCCCTCAGCATAGAGAAGATCCCTGGTAAAGGCTGAGATGACTTAAAAGTGAAGCTAATGGGCAGACAGGTATAGGGGTGCCACTGGGTGGGGTGGGATCATTAGGACATGAGAAGACAAGATCTGGGATGGGTGTTCAAGGCTTGGTGGGAACACTGGGAAGAAAGATGAGGGTGAAGTAAGGTTGGAAAGTGGAAAGCAGCTGCTGAAGGCTTCCATGTTGTGAAGTAATATTAGGTAGGCATGAGCGCTGATCGCAAGGGCTCAAATCTTTCTAAGGAAGACTTCTGTTCAACACCTCCTAACAGAGGTCTCAGCTCTCTGCAGGTCCTCAAATATTTACCAGACTTCACCCAACCACTGTGTGTGCAATTTCTGAAATCGTACAATCTTCAAAATTTTAACACTTTAATTTTAAAACCATGAATTTAAAAATCAACCGTGTTCATTAAGGTTTCTTTTGGGGGAAAAAAAATCAAAAGAACATTTATTTATCTCATTAACTATATGCCAATTAAGCAAGGCAATTGAATTTCTTAAGAATGAGCCTTATCATTATCTATTTAATTGCACAATCCCTTGGTCTCAGCCAGGTTGATATCTTTAACATTCTCTGTGTTCATCTTATTTGTTACCTCTTCTTTGCTTCTGGTCATGCTACAAAGCTCCCCCTGACTCACCTCCCTGTTGTAAGAAAGCTTTCAATAGAGATACAAACAAACAAATAGGATAATCAAACAAATTAAGTACGTGTTTTCTCGAAGCACATATATTTTCTTACAGTAGAAAGATTACTCTCTAGATCCTAGAAGGAATTAGATATAGAAATAAAGTCAGCACAGAGTAAATATAATGGGAATTAGAATCATACTGTAATTTAATAACTTGTCACCCATTTTCTTCTGTGAAAGTGAATGAAAGTGTTAGTTGCTCAGTCATGTTTGACTCTTTGTGACACCATGGACTGTAGCCCACCAGGCGCCTCTGTCCATAACTTGTCACCCATCTTCTTATGCAAGTAATTCACACATCTCATACTCATCTTAGAATTTTTAACTTTGAAAAAGTGTGGTAGTTTGCAAAGTAGGTACTTATTTTCACAGCTGGAACAATTAAGGATAAAACCTAATATATACAACATCTTCCACTGCAGTTAAGACTTCATTTTACCTGCTTTCATGGTTTTTTTTTTCTTTTTTCTTTAAAGGAAACTCTCATTGAATACATTCTTTGAAAATTTAACCTTGTTATTGAATTCAGTCATTAAAATGATGGGCTTTGTCTTCCATTTCACTCTTCATTAAGATTTATTCTTTGGGAATGAAATCCTCTCAGTTCTGTCTTAAGATCTCAGTTCTATCTTAAGATATCCAGAATGCAATCACTTCTAACTTCCTTTGCAAGCATCCTGCTCCCAACCACACCTCTCTTGCATGGATTATGACTATAGCTTCCTGGTCTATTCCCCTCACTGCCTTTGTCTATTTAAGTATCCACTATAGTCTATTCTCAACACAGCCTCTAGAGTGATCCTATTAAAAAGAGTTGATCAAATTATTTATCTCTATTCAAAACCCTCCAAGGGCTCCCCTTCTCATATGGAATAAAAGGCTTTTTGCAGGCTCTTGGGCCTCATCTGCTTCTTCCCCACCTTATGCAGTCTGCTCCAGCCACTCTGGCCTCCTTGCTGTTGGGTATCTGTCATCTCCCCAAGGAGGCTTTCCCTGACAATTCTATCTAAAATGCAACTTCCTTTCTCTACATCATAGTATTTATTGCCTATAACTATCTATATAGTCTATTCATTTTTTTCTGTTTTGGTCTCCCCCACCCTTGCCCCAAAAGAAGGTAAACACCATGATAGCAAGGGCTTTTGTTACTGCTCTACCTCCAATGACAGACAATTTAATATTACATCTAAAATTGTCTAAGCAGGTCACATGTCTTTGAAACATATGGTATTTCAAAGGCAAATAGTAATTTTGATCTGTATTCTTTAAACAAGTGATACATTATGGTAAGATTAAGCACTTTTTGGTATTCAGGGTAAACAAGGAAAATGCCTTCCCCACCCTAAATTTTGGACATGAACTATTAAATTATTTACTTAACTATGAGTCTTTCTTTGGTTTGGATGACTTTTGGAGGTCCTTGACTCTTAAAGGTTTGAATGACAGAGGGCACCACCTTCCAGACAAATTCTCAATTTTAGTTTTGGTTCCCAGTCTGCCAAATCTAATGATGTTAAGTGAATGGCTCGAACATCCATTCTTCCACCCATCCGCTCAAGCCAGAAACTCAGACATCACTCTTGAGCCTACCTTCCCATCACCCTCCACTTCCAATCCACAAGTCCAGTGATTTTTATCTCCTAAATCTCACTTAAATTCATATACTTTTCTCCATCCCCTCACTCATCAACCCCAGTCAAGCTGTCATCTGTCACCTGAGACATTCAAAAGGCTCTTATTTGTCTCCCTACCTCAGTCTTTGTCAAGACATTCTCTTGACAATGCAGGCTGAATAATCTTTGTGAAAGTTCAGATTCAACTGGGTCACTCTCCATTTAAAAATTCTTTAAAAGATCCCTTTGCTAGTAGGACTATCAAAAGTCATCACTTATTAAATGCATTACTATGTGCCAAGTACTTTGCTAAGCACTTTACCACCACATTTACTCTCTCACCTCTTCCTAACTCACATTTTTCAAAGTGGAAATAGAAGGGTCAATGAGGTTAACTAATTTGCCCAAGATCACCAAATTAGTAAGTGGCAGAGATGTGATTTAACTCCGGTATTATGTTAATTTAGAGGTAAGTGATCCTAATGATTACACTGTAGGAAGCAGTGGAGTAGTGTCCCTTGCTCTATTTGTCTGTGTTTGGGGGGTGTTAAAATACCCTCTCAGATCATGACCTCCCCACATCCAACTCACTGCAGGAGTGCTCTCTCACGTCTGGCCATCCCAAGTGCCATGGTTTTCTTTACACACCTTTCCAGACCTCAAAGACCCAGCTGTCCCTTATCTGGGTAATTCTTAGTCTTTCAAGTATCCGTTCAGACATCACTTCTTCCAGGAAGCCTCCTGCCTCAGGTTCAGATAAAGTGATGCCCAGTGTGAACTCACAAAGCAGTTTCTACTTCCAGGTTACAGCACTTCTCTCATTGTGGCCAGGATCCATTCTGGTTTTTTGTTTTCTGTTAGTTTTTCTATATTCTCCATTTCATTCACAGCTGTTCCCTCACACCTTTCAGCGCTTGGGACACAGTCAGCACTCCACGGCAAGCAGCGTTAATCAGTTTTGTTATTTTCCAGGCTTAGTTTACTGCCTGCCCTCTCTCCCATGGCTCAGAACACGTTAAGTGAATAAAGTAATGAATTACACGTGAACATAGGTTTAGAACACTTGCTAATACTATAAATAATAATCTTTCTGGATGCAATCTTCTGGCATTTCTGTATGTACATAGTGTGGGTATGTATAGCTGTCAGAGCTGTCCATTTAAAGTTGTAAGCGCCTACATAGCTGGCCGATTCCGTTTAGACTGCATTATCTGACTGTAAAGATTGTTGTTCATTCCCTGACACAACATCCTGAGATGTGTATTGTTCTCCTCTTAGTAGGTAATTGCTTCTACACTCGCAGATTTTGATTATGTATACTTATAAATGCGTCGATTCGGTTTGTCTCGTTTTTCATGCAGTAACTGTGATTCCTAAATTAAATCCCAAATGTCTAGATTAATAATGCAAAACTACAATGTTTATTCAGGGAAATTTCATGTTGCATCAACAGGCTTCTGTGTCATCTTTGGTAACTGATACTTACTTTGTTAGAAAAATATACGCTACAGAAAAGCTTATTACAGACAAGCGTAAATTACGCATTTGTCAATAAACGCGCGGCCTGCGGCACACTGACAACAAACCAGCATTTTGCCCAGACTGGGCTGACTTGAACCAATCACGCAGACAAACTACAAATCTCAGCATGCAAAGCTGCAAAAAGTCCTACTGGCGCCGCGAAGAGCGCCGCGGTGGACACTGGGTTTTGTAGTTCCCGACCCTAGCCCGCCAGTCACGGCCCGTATACTCACCAGATCCAGCCACTACCAAGAGGCTGAGAGACCGCCGAGGCACAGGAGCGCGAGGACTCAGGACTACCCACAGCCGCACTGCCAGCAGCAGCAAGGCCAGGGCTCCTGCAGCCGCCGCGAGGATAAGCGCGCCACTCATTCAAAGAAAATACGCATGCGTGCTATCCCGGTGCCGGCCGCAGGAGCGGTCAGAGTTCAAAACTACGGGATCTCCGGAGACTCAAACTCGAAGAGTGGGCGTCTTGGTGGGCGTGGCTTGCTTGAGGTGGGAGGAGTTCAAGGCCAGAGGCGGAAGCCCGGCCTCAGACCGCTCCGCGGGCTTCCGGGGGGGTTTCTGCTAACCTACAGCCAGTGCAAAAACTGGAATTCACGGATTAACGCGCTGCAGAAGTTTGGTTGCAGCTCATGAGAATGTCAGGTCACCTGTGCGTCCTAAAAACCCCGGATTGCTCAAGTTAGCAGGTGTTCCAGCTTTACCAACTTTGTGACTTCCACCTGAGGCCAATGGCATACATCGCCGTTTTTCTTTATGAAACGCCGAGAGAAATATTTCTGTTGCACATGCGCAGCTACTGAAAGTGTTTGCCAGTTAAAGGTACCTTTGTACAGAAAGTTTCATATAGGGTCTTCGTTTTTCTCCTCTTTCCCAACACTCAGGCTTTTCACTTTTCTAGACGTTTTCACAGATCTCAGTGTGACCAGAGTAGCTGAGGGTGATCACCTCAGGTTACGCCGTGATCCTGAGAGGAGTGGACGCCCAGGGGCTCGAGGTGGCGGGCTAGAGATGGCATCATTCTATTCAGTTAATTTTACCATAAAGGCAACACCTCCCCTATCTCAATTTTGCCTAGTTTTGTGTTTACTTAATTCACATTACAGCAATATAAAAATACTGAGATTAGAGAATCCCCTTCACCTCACGTGTGATTTGCCTTCAGTCCCCCGTGGACTTGTAGGTTAGATAGGACAAGTGTACAGAGGAGTAAACAAGTCCAGAAAGGCTAAACAGCTTGCCCAAGTGAGGTAGTGGCAGATCTAGATTTAGACAGTGGAAACTCCAACTCCTGTTTACATTGTGTATTCCTTTGCTAGGTCTTCTCTGAGGGCTCAGATGGTAAAGAACCTGCCTACAATGCAGGAGACCTGGGTTCCATCCCTGGATCCTGGATCAGGAAGATCCTCTGGAGAAGGAAATGGCAACCCACTCCAGTGTTCTTGCCTGGAGAACTCCATGGTCAGAGGAGCCTGGTGGGCTAAAGTCCACGGGATCACAAAGAGTAGGACACGACTGAGCAACACTTTCACACATTCCTTTGCTAAATTCAAACTTGCTTAGATCATAGAACAGTGTTTTTTAAAATGTGACTTCTAGGGTACAGTAGGGAGCTACTGAAACAGAATCTCCAGGGGAGAGATCTGAGATCAACTCATCTAACCAGTCCATCTATTTGTATCAGCAGGCAAGTTTGGGAAATATTTAGGGACTATGTAGCATCATTTTCTGGCCAATGGACCTTGCGGCACGTCCTGTATTCTATCAAATCCTCTTAACCCTGTATCCTCATAATAAGGTCATAAGGTTAATATTATTTTTGCACTTTACAGATAAAGAAAAGGATTCTATAAAAATTAAATTGCTTAAGATTACTTCGCTGGTAGTGTTGGAGAAGTTTTATAATTGTGGGTTTAGAACTCAGGGCCTCTCAAATTTTGGTAGCATCAGAATCCCTTGGGCTTACAAGTACATAGATGAAAGTCCAGAGGTAGAGCCTCTGGCTCAGTATGAACAACAGCTTAAGAACGTTACAAAGGATATAGTTTTCTTTCATCTGCCCACTCTGCCATTCCCAGCAATGGCTTCAACTTAAGGCTGTTTCCCTTCCTACTTAAAAGCAGATATTAGTGGTCTCAGAAATTACATCCGGATAGGGTGGTCTCCAGATTTCAAGAGGATATCTTGTCATCGGCCCCCCCCCTTTTTTTAAGAGTGAGGAAACCTTTTCCAGAACCTCTCACAGAAGACTTTCACTCTTTTGCCATGTTTATATCACCTGCCCATTCATCAAAGGAATGAGACCACAGAGCTGGCTGGGGTAGGATGGAGGATGACATACAACTCACCTGTTGTATCTGGCTGTTTGGTGTTGGGTGGGTGCTGAACAAAATGGTCATCCTGTTGGAGAGGAGGAAGTTGGAGGAGGGTGGAGGAGAGAGAATTGTTGGGTAGGCAAATAATAGTGTTTGGATTGCTGCGGAGATAGTATGTCTGAGGTGGTGTTGTAAACTGACACAGGCAATGCAGATGTTGGACATATTGATAATGTCTAGAACCCAAGCCTCAAGAGATACCCCTGCATTCCCTACTACCCATCCCCTCACTACTGGAATTACCTGTACCTGTATGAAAAATCAGCTTGCCCACACTTAGTTGCAGATGGAATGAATAGGGGGTGATCAAGCGTTTTAGTGACTGCCAGTAAATGCCGAGAATCAAAGAAGGTGGAGTAGCAGACATTGTTGGGAGTTATTGGTTGAGTTATTTTGAATTAAGGCTGACAAGGAAGTTGAGGATGCAGGGAGGAGCTGAGTGGCTGGCAGGGACAGAAACCAAGTTGGGAACTCCTGAACACATAAATGTCTGCTGTGTGAGCTGAGTCCTGTGGGCTTGACAGGCGTGGAATATAATTAAGAGGTCAAGAAACTATACTGGATTAATCAGAAAAGGCTGGACTGATCAGGAAGGATCAACGAAAATTTCTTTTGGGGAGGTAAGCTACACTGTTGATGTAGATAAATGCACAGAGGTAAAGTGTATGAAAGTGTGAAAGTTATTAATAATTGATAAACTGAATAGTAATATTGAGCCATAATCAATCCCAAGTCTGGAAGTGATTTTTATTGTCTTCTTAAATCCGTTTTCTAAAATTTCTTTAACAAGTATTATTCATGAATATTTTTAAAAGTAAGATTATTTTGCACTATTGAATAGCATTATACTTATTAATTTTTCTCAACATATTTAATGTACACATGCTGTGTGCTATGTTTCGGTGCAGGGGATTGTATATGAGAAGGACACTAATCCAGACAGAAACCTTAGACTAGGAAGATGACAGTGGGAGGCAGAAGAAGGTAGATTTGACATATATTTTATAGATAGAGTTAGTAAGACTCATTGATGGATTAACTGTTGGGAATCAAGGTAACTCCTAGATGTTTGGCTTGAAAACTGATTGGGTGCTGTCATGCCAAGACTAGACAGACAGGAAGAGAAACAAGCTTTTGTGGGTAAAGAAAGGGGAGGAGGGGATGAAAATGAAGTGTTCTGTTTTGGATGTTAGTTTGAATAGCCTGTTAAACATCCTAGTGGTTGTGTCAGGCACTTTATGTATAAATCTGAAGTCTGGGTTAGAGCCAGAGGTGTAAATTTCAAATTCAACATATAGATGGTGTTTAAAGCCTTGGGACTAGCTGGGTGAGATCACCTAGGGAAGGAATTTGGGTCAGTCAGGTCCAACAGAAGTTTCTGCAATGACGGAAATGTTTTGTGTCCATGTTGTCCACTAGACACATTCGCCTACTGTGCCCTTGAGATGTGGCTAGTGTGATGGAAGAACTGAACTTTTATTTCATTTCAGTTATTTTTAAACTTAAATAGATACATTGGCATTAGCCAATGGCTAGTGTATTAGACAGCTCAGCGTAGAGAAGAGTCTGGGTTCATTAATATTTAGAAATCCAGTCAAGGAGATTGGGCCAGCAAAGAAGATGGAGAAGGAAAAGCCAGGGAGCCAGAGAGGAAAATCAGGAAAAATGGTGTCCACAAAAACCACAGGAGGAAAATGATTCAAGAATAGGAGTCCAGTTAGCTATGTCACATGCTGCAGATAAATCACATCAAGTGACTTGGGAACAAATTAGTCACTGGCAGTCTAAACAGGAACAGCATTTCCATGGAATGGTGGTAGTGGAAGGCAGATAGAAATGGGCGGAGGAGATACTGGGAGATGCAGAGAAGCAGCATCTGTACATAGTTGTTTCAAGTTTGTCTTTGAAGGGGAATGGATGAATTGGATGGGAAATGGAGGAGAATTTGTAGTCAAGGAAACATTTTTTTCTTTTAAAAAATTAATTTATTGATTAATCAATTAATTAATTGGAGGCTAATTACTTTACAGTATTGTGGTGGGTTTTGCCACACATTGACATGAATCAGCCATGGGTGTACGTGTGTCCCCCATTCTGAACTCCCCTCCCACCACATCCCATCCCTCTGGGTTGTCCCAGTGCACTGGCTTTGAGTGTCCTGTTTCATGCGTTGAACTTGGACTGGTCATCTGTTTCACATGGTAATATACATGTTTCAATGCTATTCTCTCAGATCATCTCACCCTCGCCTTCTCCCACAGAGTCCAAAAGTTTGTTCTTTATATCTGTGTCTCTTTTGTTGTCTCATGTATAGGGTCATCATTACTATCTTTCTAAATTCTTTATATAAGGGAAACATTTTTAAGATGGAAGTTAATTGTCATATTCAGTTCAGTTCAGTCACTCAGTTGTGTCTGACTCTTTGCGACCCCATAGACTGCAGCACGCCAGGCTTCGCTGTCCGTCACCAACACGTTTTGATATTAAAAATGATCCGGTAGAGGCAAATTGGTGCAGGAGAGAAAGGGAATGAGAATAGGAACACATTTATTTATTTTAAATTACTCATTTATTTATTTATTTTTATTTTTGATTCCACTGGGGCTTCATTGCTGTGCATGGGCTTTCTCTGGTGGTGGCAAGTGGGGGCTGCTCTTTAGTTATGGTAGGCAGACTTCTCATTGCAGTGGCTTCTCTCGTTGCAGAGCACAAGTTCCAGGGCATGCAGGCTTCAGTAGTTGTGGCTCTTGGGTTCTAGAGTGAGTTCTCAGCAGCTGTGGCTCACGGCCTAGCTGCCTTGTGGTATGTGGAATTTTCCCAGATCAAGGATTGAACCTGTGTCCCCTGCATTGTCAGGCAGATTCCCAACCACTGGACCACCAGGGAAGTCCTGCAATGCATTTATTTTAAAAATGAAAAGGATTGGAATCTTGAGGACAAGGGGAGTGGTTGGGCTTTGATGGGAGGGACCCTTATTCCATGGTTACAGGA